TAACTGGCGAAGATCCGACCATTGGATCATAATGAAATTTTAGTATGTTATTGTAGAAGCATAAGACGAACTATGAATGGCTTGATCCCTTCGTTTAGGGTACGGAAGCAGTCTAACCAAGATGTTAGATGCAGCCATAAACTAAACAAAATGATTTTTTTTTTTTTTAGTGATTAGTTAGAATTATAATTAACCATTATTTTTATTGTGGCCTACCTGTGTGTTTGGCTTCCGAAATAGAAATTTTGGGATGTTACAAACCCAAACAAAGGTCGATCTTAGAGAATACCCGAGCACCCCGCAATTGATCAAACAAGTCATCAATATGAGGTAGAGGATAACGGTTATTCACTGTCACCCGAATAAGTTGTCTATAGTCGATACAAAGTCTCATCAATCCATCATTCTTCCTCACAAATAGTACATGAACGCCCTAGAGAGACATGCTGGGTTGGATATAGCCTTTATCCAGAAGCTCCTGAAGTTGAATCTTTAACTCTCTCAATTCAGCTGGTGTCATTCGATATGGTGCTAAAGAAATAAGGTTAGTACATGGAAGTAAGTTGATGGTGAATTCAACTTCCCTTGCAGGTTGTAACCCTAGCAAATCTTCAGGAAAGGCATTGGTGAATTCATTCACCATTGGCACATCCCTAGCACACATGGAAGGTTTGGCATGCGTGACCACGTGAGCCAAGAATCCCACACAACCCTTTTGTAATAACTTCGTCGTCTTGATGGCGAAAATAATACTATTTTGAATAATCCTTCGCTCACCTTGAAACATAATTGTTGGTTGTCCAGGCCGATCAAATCTCACTAATTTATTTGTACAACCGACATACGCATTGTGCTTGGATAGCCAATCAATTCTCAAAATGATATCAAACTCTACTAGTTTAAAAGAAATCAAATTGGCCTCCATAAGTTCCCCTTCAACTATAACTGGACAATCCCTAAATTCCCATTGTGCACCAAATAAATCTCCAGGGGGCAATTGTATAAACATATCAAACCCAAGCGATGTAGGTTACGGGTTTACAACTCGTGCAAGTTGTGGAGATATAAATGAATATGTAGCACCTGGATCAATCAAAACACGAGCCCAATGACTAAAAACAAGTAACGTACCCATGATAACTTTGGAATCCTGTTTTGCCTCCCACTGAGTCATGGCGTTGATACGTCCGTAGGCTTGTCATCTTGAACCACCGCTACGACCCCCACGAGTCATAACACCCTGATTATTATAGCATGCTCGGTTACCTGAGCACGACTGCTAGAAGTTGCACCAGAGTACTACGGTTGTTTCCTAACAGGATTCTGAGTACTCGAACCACTACTTCCACCATAACCAGAACCAAAAGTAATATCATTTGGTAAGCGTGCAATAACGCAATTACGGGCATAGTGTCCAATGCCACCACTCCTGAAACATGAGCCTGCATCTACAATGCATTCTCCTCGATGATGCCTACCACAACGCGCATAAATCATGACCGCTGGATCAAAGTAACTAAAAGACTGTCTCGCCATCTTATTGCCAGATCCCTCACTGGAAGATCCCGAACCCTGACCATGGCGTTTGAATGAAAATTAGTGTCTAGGGCCGAAAGAAGAAGAAAATGTGGAAAGCTCCATCGTGCTTCGAGATCTGAAACTTCTACCCTACTGATTCTGATTTCGAGGCTGATTTTGGGTAACTCTGTTCCAACGCAACTGTTCAGTCCTCAAAGCTGCCTGAATCATCTCATCATAGGATGCATAAGTTTGTAGTGCCAAGAGTTCGCAGATGTCATCATTCAGAGCAATTTCAAGTTGTACCATCATCCTCGTAATCGATAAGTTGCCCAGGAAAAAAGCCAAGAATTCATGTCTTTTTCTAAACTGGTATTTGGGGCTCAAAAAGTATTTACTAAAGAATCTCTTGAAAGTAGCCCAAGTTGTCGTCGAGTTAGGTGGCTAAGAGTCTTTCACTGATTTCCACCAAAATCTTGCATTACCCTGGAGAAAGTAACCTACGGTCTTCGCCCACTCAACTGCTGGGCAAGACATACCCTCCAGAATGTCCTCCATTTTCTCAAGCCAATCATCGGCCTCCTTACAAGCATCAACTACATTCAGCTTAGTAACACAGTGACTCATAACAATTTCCATATAATTACAACTATGCCCGTTATTCTTAGGGAAAACATGTCATAGAGCGAAGGTCAATTGCTGAATTCCACTAATCAAACTAGAACGAGGCTGACGAGGCACATTCCCACCACGAGTATCCATGATTCTGATAAGAGAAACAAGATTTAAGAAGATTAAAGATTGTGGCTACATGAAGGATATGACTACCAAGTGGAAAGAATGAAGTCCTAAGTATGCTCTGATACCAATCTGACACACTCTGATCCTGATATTCGAAGGATAATGGGATGGCCACTTGTTGGCCGACACCCAAGAATGACGCAAGCCAGTTTATGAATGCATATGCTGAGAACATGTGAAACATGCATAATAATTTCACGCCTAACTATGCAATATAGTATTCAAGTACAAACCTTAACAAAAATATAATAATCCACTGCCCAAAATTTAAAAGTGATAATGCATAACATGTTCAAAGCATACTACTAATTTGAAATACAAGCGGAAGGGATATTAGAAAGTGTGATTACAAGAGATGTCTTATGCAGAGAGGAGAACACAAATTCACTGATATGGGAATGCCTCATAGATCGGGTTCGTATGCCTTGTTCCTAGGTCCTGAAGGGGGTGCAAAACAAAATATGAAGTAATACTAAAATAGTTATTCTTTAACGTACTAACCCTCAATTTTAGAAAACTTAAATAGCATAATAAGTAATAGGTTTTTCGAAAACCCTAGCATGCCATAAAACATTCATAAAACATATATTGTATATAGTGTGCTTAGTAGTGGTATCATAATCGCCGGAAGGCCCAACATTGCCCGCCTGAAGGCATACATAAATGAATATCCACTAAGTAAGCACAAAAAATCATAAACATAATCTTTCCAAAATATATCTCATCGGAGCTCAATGGCTTAAACATCATATCATAAATCATATTCATAAATATCTTAGTAACATAAATTTGATAAAGCATGATATTTCATAAAGCGTAAATCCGATAACTCATTAAACGTGTCATTAAATGTAGTCATAAATCATGCATTTTGGAATACTTCATTACCAACATGTCATTCAACAATAGAGAGGACGGTGTCACCTCAGATGACACACCTAAGCACAAAAGAGAACAATTTAGTAAACCCTAAGAAGATGATTGAATTTGGAAAAATGGACATCGTAATCAAATCCAGGATGTAAAAAAACCTAAGGGAGGACTTCATGTTCCCTTACGAGCCGCCGCACGCGGTAGCCAGGAAAGCCACACTCTGAGATGGGTCGCTGGAAAATTTTCTAGTGACACCGTCACAGTACCTCTGGGGAGGCGCGTGTGCTCCACGCGCCAGCCATCACTGCACCACGAACAGCCTCACGCGCCTGCGAGTAAAGGCTACTCGTCTTCCTCGCGAGGCCTGAAACTAGCTGGTTTATTGGCTTAACTTCCCGAGCTCGTTTCTCAACCATTTTCGATGTTTCAAATGCCAAAATGAAGCTTGACATGAGGAAAAGATATTCATACCAAGTTGGGATCAAGTGGTGGCCGGAGTTGGTCGGAAAATGGCAATAAGTCACTGTCTTTGCCGGAAAACTGGATAAGTTTTCCCCTGAGTTTCCTAAGTCCAAAAGTTACCAAAACTTCTCAAAAATACTCCCAAACACACATCAAGACACGATCCACAACTTTTGGACAAGGTTCAAGCCTTACCTTCGCCAGAGTAGGTGGAAACTCGCCGGAGAGTCTCGGTGAATAATGAGTGCATTGTGCAATGAAATATGAAGGTTTTGGAGTGGTTCTTATTCGGTTATGGGTTCACAACTAGGGTTGTTGGGTGGTGGGGGGTATTATCGTTGTTGTATGTTGTTGTTATTATTGTGTTGTGTTGTATATGGTGCCCTCGGGGATGGCTGGTTTGAGAAAGACTGTGAGGTATAGATAGAGAGAGAGAGATTTGACAGAAATGAAAAAGGGGAAGGGGGAGGTCTCGAGGGAAATGGAGGGAATTGGGGGACAAGAGATTTAACAAAAATGAAAAAAGGGAGAGAGGGTGGTCTCAGGGCAAAGGGAGGGGATTGGGGGACACAAATCCATTGTGGGCCCCAGTGGCTCACACATTAAGGTCACTAAAGATGAAACATAAAAAATCCAAAAAACGTTCGATGTTTTAAAAACATAAAATCTTCATTATAACTCTAAATTCGAATCCATTCGCACCCATGCGTTTGTGGCAATGAGTACAATAAGAATAAACTAAGAAAATTAGTAAAACATGTCACGATGAGATATCACAACTCAGAATTTTGATTCCTTCTTATTCCGTCTCCTGATTAGTTTAATCAGTCGTTCTAGTTCCGGATTAGTAAACGTGTCGTAAAAATATTTTTCTACCTTTCAAATGAAATTTCCACTTATTTCAAGCTGAGTCAACCCTCTTTACTCTCCATTTTGGTTGTCCTAGGTTTTTTTTTTGGTCAAAGGTTGTCTTAGGTTCACTCGTATGACCTAGGTTTGCTTGTCCTAGGTTCTCCCTCACCTTCACAACTCCACTCAGATGCTGTGACCTACAAACATGTTATTTTGTAATATGGGTTTGTCTTTTAAATTGGCATTGTATATGCAAATTTAACCAATGTTACATGCAAGATAGACAATGCACGTAACGTTGCCACAAGTTCGATACATAACAGAAGATCGCGACATAGGTTTTATCGAATGAGATCAACAACCAAGCCGTTTGCGATACCTGGGATGGGCAGTAATGAGTTGATATTATACTATATATTTTACCCTAATTTTAGTAATAATTTATTGGTTATTATGTGTAAATTTTGATAATTTGAATTGTATTTTCAAAATAGGATTTTCGACTTCCTCTGGAGAAAAACATGGCCAAATGAACGAATGTTGGAGTAATTCTAGTTGGAGGATGTTCGTGAGTCAGTTAGCTTGATCGTATAAAAATATCATATTTTTCTACCAAGCGATGATTTTCTGGCAATAAAATAAAGGATGGAATAGTGACGTTTTGGGCTTGAATTGTGTTTTTGGAGTCCACGATGACCTCGGATGGTTTCGTGGCCTTCTTGAGATGTGTTTGGAACGTTCTGATCTTTAAAGCAAGCTATCTTGGGCCAAATTTGAAGGAGATTTGAGGTTAAAACGTGACTGGACAGTTTCTGTACAGAGTCTCCTAGATTATTAAGGACGCTATTTTCTAAGTTATTTTATTTTATTGTTTAGTTTCCTAATTGGAGAAAAAGACTAGGGGTTTGTGCGATAGCTAGAAGGAATTTTAAGGCTTTTGGCCATTCTTAGATTTTTTTTTCTACGCTTTCTTTTATGCAACTTTGGAAACAGAGAGTAATTGCTAAGGTTTTTGAAGATTTTCTATTTTAAGGTGTTTTCATTCCTTTTATTCTTTATAATATTTTCTATGATTTCAATTATGAATATACTTAACTAATTCCTTTTGCTAGGGCGAAGCCTTGAGCCTTAGCATGAATATATGATTTTTATTTAATTGCTTATGTTTGATTGCATGCACACTTTGAATTATTGATCACTATTTTAAACTATCTAATTTTCTTAATGTCTGATCACCATTAGGATCTTTAGAAAAGTAATTTGATGCAATTTTAGTTGGAAGATTCTTTGAAATTGGCGCTGGCTTCTTAAGAGTTGCATGGTTTTTCAAAAGGTTTTCATAAAACTTAATGAGTCTCTCATGTTCATATTTGATCCGAACGTCTGGACAGATTGCATTAGATATATGTTTTATGTTAGACGTTCCAAGTAGGAAATATGTTAGGAAAACCTAACCTTCAAAGTGGTATGTGTAGATCATAAGTAATTGGTAAAAATGCATAGGATTGCTAGGTGATGGTGGAACCTTAGTGCTTTTATAAATTGGTATTTTAAAAACTGTTTCTTTTTCTTTCAGCTTTAATATTGCAGATTGTTTTATATTTATTAATTAAATTCATTTTATTAAATTAGGTCATAAAAATCAATCATCTCAAATTTCTATTTTACAATAATTAATTGGAATTTGGTTTGCTTTGAATTATTTAGTAATCTCTGTGGAGAACGACCTTACGAGAACCATTTAATTTATACTATAATCATTGTCATTCTTGCAAGTATTATAGGATTTTTTTTAACCCGTTTGCGTGTGGTAAATTCCCTATCAGGCAGTGATAATGAAATAAAGGAAATTCTTGACTAAAATATTTTCCGGTTATATGACATAGATGAGAAATAATTTACAGGTTCCATTTCCCTTAAAATCTCACAACTATAAAGTTTGTGTCGTCGGGTGAAGAGGTTTGAATACATTTCTAAGATTAAATTACCAAAGGAGAGATTACACATGTTTTCGGTGATGGAATCCTGTGTTCTTGGCATGCATTTCATGCATAACTTACTACACTGGCTGCAGCTGAGGCTGACTTGTAACATCAGTTCCGTTTTTGCTCCCAGCCATTCCTGCCCCGTTAGTAGTTGCCGAATCACTGAAAGTGTTTGTACCATACTTGACCAATCTCGAAACTACTAAGCACCGGTCAATAGTATACCGTCAAGGACCCGCAAAACTTTTCCTCCAACAAGGAGGCCAATCACAACACGACACGTGTCGGTATCAAAGGCCAATCACAGTGCAACACGTGTTGATATCAGAGGCCAATCACAACACGACACGTGTCAATGTCACAACAAAACTAGAAACTCTCTTCTATAAAAAGGGATCATTCTCCCACAATAATCCCTAATGTCATTTGTACTAAGCTATTCACTAGAACTCACTAAAAGAGAGCTTGAACCTATGTATTTGTGTAAACCATTCACAACTAATGAGAACTCCTCTACTCCGTGGACGTAGCCAATCTGGGTGAATCACGTACATCTTGTGTTATTTGCTTCCCTGTCTCTATTCATTTACATACTTATCCACACTAATGACCAGATCAACCTAGCGAAGGTCACAAACTTGACACTTTCTGTTGTACCAAAGTCCCCGCCGATTTTGTGCATCAACAGAGCACTTCCAAATTAGGCCTATTTTGGTGAATCTAGTTCGGGAGCTCAATAGCACAATTAGTAGTGTGCAGACCTAAATGAACAGCTGCATAATGGATTGAGGCTAGATTTAAGGATCCGGATAGATGAAGGGAGGACCCGGTTGAACACCTTAACCTCTTTGAGTCCACCATGGCATAACGGATGCACACGGACGAAGAACGATGTCTTCTCTTCCCCTCTACTCTCTCTGGCGGAGCTTTGAATTGGTATTGCCGTCTTCCACCTGAGACAGTAGACTCATTTGAGGAACTGAGGAAACTGTTTGTCTCTCAACACATCTTCCAGACAGATCACTTGCATTCTGCAGATGACTTGTACACTATTCGCCAGAAGCCAGACGAGTCACTACGAAAGTATGTCGGCCGCTTCAGCCATGAGTATTCTCACTGCGCTGAGGCAGATGACCAGACCGCCCTCAAAGCCTTCACGGCAGGCCTACGTGATTGTTTCTTCAAGTACATGATCAATGCCAACACTTGGAAGACTTACTCTGGGGTGATGGCACAGGCTTACAACCACACCTCCGTCGAAGCAAGGACATACCAAGGGAACCTCCATATGGTTAACCTCTATCAACAAGTGGGAAGTGGAAGTCAAGTTTTACCAAGTGAGGAAATCTTGGCCATTCAGACACCTATTGCATCATTTCCTGCCTCATTTAGTTACTCGCTAAGTCACCAAACGTATTTGTCTCTTGGTAAGAGGATGAATTTTTACTCTCAGCAAGCCTATTACAACAAGAAGGATAAAAGTTCGTATCAAGACAACTAGGGGTGAACGTACCGTTGACTATTATGACTATAGGGCCAAGCCTCACTTTTTCAAAGTGAAGGACTGGGTACTGAAGGAAAAGCTATTATAAGAAGGTATACACATTACAAATGTTTTGACTCTCAATCACTTGAGATCTTTTGTCATACAAGCCATTCGGCAAATATTTAAAGAAGAGGGAATTCAGACAACTTCTTCTGAGTCTTTTGCATTCCTAGCACTAGATCACTTGGTCTATGCTGACCTACCCCTATACTCCAACTCAGAGCTTCAACATGCGTACTTTGACACAAAGTATGTGATACTAAGTGTTACAACCAACATGGATCCCTTCATGCATAGCAAAACATTCATAAGTATCACTCATGTCAATCAACATAAACATCATACATTCCAACACATTCATACATAAACATCATACATTCCAACACATCCATACATAAGCCAACTGTGCTTCAAAAGGGTTCAACATACTTTGTGTCATTTGACACTTGCTACAATGTGCCTCGACACATTGCCCTTATTCTCACCAACCAAGTGATGAAATGTGAAGAAATAACTCATCTTCATGCCACCAACGAGGTGATGAAATGTATAACCTGTACTCTCTTTCATGCCACTAACCAGGTGATAAAATGTACAACCTGTACTATAATATCATTTGGCAACTTGCTACTCATGTCACCAACCAGGTGAAGAAGGAACTCATTTTCATGCCACCAAACATGTGATGAAATGTACAACTCGTACTCTCCTTCATGCCACCAACCAGGTGATGAAATGTACAACCCGTACTCTAATATCATTGGGCAACTTGCCACTCATGCCACCAACCAAGTGAATAATGAACTTATCTTCGTGCCACCAACCAGGTGATGAAATGTACAACCCATATTCTAACATCATTTGGCAACTTGCCACTCATGCCACCAACCAAGTGAAGAAGGAACTCATCTTCGTGCTACCAACCAGGTGATGAAATGTACAACCCGTGCTCTAACATCATTTGGCAACTTGTCACTCATGCCACCAACCAGGTGAAGAAGGAACTCATCTTCGTGCCACCAACCAGGTGATGAAAAGTGATGAAAGGTGATAAAGGAACTTACATTCATACCACTAACCAAGTGATGAAAGCAACTCACCATTCATTCCACCAACTAGAAGACGAGTGTTAAAACTTTTACATGTGAACTCCTAGCATTCATAAATAATAAAAAACTCTCAAGCTTTACAACTCAACTAGGGGAGCACTTATGCCTAACAAGAGTTATAGTCACCAACAAAGTCTTATTGCAAGCCATCAACGGTTTCAGTGCATGGTATACGAGATCAAGCTCTTCAGCCCTCTTACATCTGCTTCAGACACTTCTCCTCTGTAACAATGCAAACACTACAACTCGTATAAAGCTTCACACACTCTTTATCAAGACTGTTCGAAGCAAATTCAATTTATATGGTTCATCCAAACCTTCGACTACTACAAGGTGTGGCTTGCATCACAATCTCTTGCTCAATAGTGTGGAAGCAAAATTTGTATATGTTGTCTCTCCCACATTTTCAAATTTCTAATTTTCCCAAAAAAAAAACAAAAAAGAAATTGAGAAATTCAACAACTTCAACAAATGAAGGGTAACTACAACTCTCAAAAGCTTCACACACTCTTGATCAAGATAGTGTGAAGCAAAACCAACTTATGGTGCCAACAAAAGCTTCAACAAGTGAAGGACAACAACAAATGTCAAAAGCCTCACACACTCTTGATCAAGATAGTGTGAAGCAAAACCAACTTATGTTGCCAACAAAAGCTTCAACAAGTGAAGGGCAACAACAAATGTCAAAAGCCTCACACATTCTTGATCAAGATAGTGTGAAGCAAAATCAATTTATGGTGCCCAACAAAGCTTCACCTACAAAGTTTCAACATCAAACAAAGCTTCATCAATGGAGAGCAACTACAATTCTCAAAAGCTTCACACACTCATGATCAAGATAGCGTGAAGCAAAATCAATTTATGGTGCCCAACAAAGCTTCAACACAAAAGCTTCACCTACAAAGTTTCAACATCAAACAAAGCTTCAACAACAAAACTTCAACATCAAGCAAATCTTCATCAATGGAGAGCAACTACAATTCTCAAAAGCTTCACACACTCTTGATCAAGATAGTGTGAAGCAAAATCAATTTATGGTGCCCAACAAAGCTTCACCTACAATGTTTCAACATCAAACAAAGCTTCATCAATGGAGAGCAACTACAGTTCTCAAAAGCTTCACACACTCATGATCAAGATAGTGTGAAGCAAAATCAATTTATGGTGCCCAACAAAGCTTCACCTACAAAGCTTCAACACAAAAGTTTCACCTACAACACTTCAACACAAAAGCTTCACCTACAAAGCTTTAATACAAATTAATACAAAAGCTTCACCTACAAAACTTCAACATCAAAACTTCACCACCAAAACTTCACCTACAAAACTTCACCCAAAAAAACCATTTTCGAAAATTCAAAAATTCGAAAATTAAAAAAAAAAACTTTGGGCCT